ATACTTTACACGTGGTATATCTACACTAAACCCTTAAACCCTAAACCATAAGCCCTAAACCCTGAACACTAAACTCTTAAACCCTAAACCCTAAACCCTAAACCCTGAACCCTAAACCATAAGCCTTAAACCCTAAACCCTAAACCCTAAACCCTAAACCCTGAACACTAAACCCTTAAATCCTAAACCCCAAACCCCTAAACCCCTAAACCCTAAACCCCTACTGTAAACCCTAAACGCTAAACCCTTAAACCCTAAACCCTAAACCCTTAAACCCTAAACCCTAAACCCTTAACCCTAAACCCCCAAGAAAGCCCTGAGCCCGCAGACCAGGTCTGGCCCGGGCCTCGACCAGGGATCGTGCCAGCACCTCGATGTCGTGCAGCATGTCCAGATCCTCTTTTGATGGTTTAAAACAAAATTCTAGGGTTTAGGGTTTGGGGTTTAGGAACCCTAAACCCTAAACCCTAAACCCTAAACCCTATCCCTTTAGGGTTTTGGGTTTAGGATTTTTTGGGTTAGCGGGTTTAGGATGGTTTAGGAATCTATACGTCCAAGGCCTCACTGCGATTAAGGCCGGGGACAGCGGGTTGCGGGTGCTTAGGGCTTAGGGGTTTGAGGGTTTAGGGTTTAGGGTTTAGGGTTTAGGGTTTAGGGTTTAGGGCTTAGGGTTTAGGGTTTAGGGCTTAGAGGTTTTAGGGTTCAGGGTGAGGGCCAGCCCAAGGCCCTCTAGGGTTCTATCGTCTTTACAGGAACTTTTTGGAACGATTCAGGCGGAGATGTTGGACACTGTGTTTCATGGAAGCTTTCTGTCCGCTTTAGGCTTTGCATGTCTCACTTGTAAACATTCGGCGGCAGTAAGGCGCAACCGGTGCATGTTCTGAGGTATGGAATTTACAGGGGGAGTTGTGACTAGGGCTCTCAACGGCTTTACTAAGGGCTCAGTTATGGTGTGAGATGTGGGTGCGCCCCTGCCTCGTTCTGGAAGGTCTTCCTGCTGCGCATGTACCAGGTGCCATCGGTGACTTCCGGGGTGTTCACCTGCTATTGCATAGCAATGGTTGGGAGGACTGTTCAGCTTTTTGGGGCTTTCGGGTTTCGGGCTGCGGTTTCGGGCGTGGTAGGGTTTCGGGCTCAGGGGCTCCAGGTCTACGGTGGGTTCACCCACCACAGCACAGGACTGGCTCGGGAGGCGTTGGGTGCTTTGCAGCTGGCTTTCCGCGGAAGTTCACCACAACTTCTCACAGCTTCAATTTGCAAGCAAAGTGCCCCCTGAACCCTAAACCCTGAACCTTAAACCCTAAACCCTAGACCCCTGAGGTGGAGCGGCTCGTGGGTTCCTACCTCCAAGACTTTCGAAGCCCTGAAGCCCAAAAGACCTACATACTTGCAGGCCCCAACCGCCCCTCCCTCAAACAAAAAAATTAAAAAGGACCGCATCTGAAACCCTAAACCCTGAACCCTGAACCCTAAACCGTAGCCTAAAACCACCAGAAAACCCGAAACCCAAAACCCAAAACCCTAAACCCCATGTCCCCGTCAGAAGCAAAGCTCGGCTTCAGCGGCACCTCGAACTCCAAGAGACCCTCACCTCATGGTTTAAAGTTTAGGGTTTAGGGTTTAGGGGTGTAGGGATTTCGGATTTAGGGGTTTAGTGTTTAGGGTTTAGGGGTTTAGGGGTTTAGGGTTTAGGGTTTAGGGGTTTGGCGTTTTAGGGTTTAGGGGTTTAGGGGTCAATTAGGGCTTAGGGTTTAGGGTTTGGGGATTGGGGTTTGGGGGTGAAGGCATGTTTCTGTGTTTGTTCCGGGCGTCGAACAGGGTCCTCCAGGAATGGGGTAAGGTGTCGGGTCAGGATTTGTGCTTCGCGTGTAAAGTTGGGGGCTTAGTGTTTCGGGTTCCGGGGGAATCCTCGTTTTCGCGGGGGGTTAGGGACCAAGTTTCGGGGCTTTCGGCAATAAATAAAATTTAAACCCTAAACCCTACACCCTA